ATTTGGGAACTTGGCATAACGTACTTGGATTGACAAATATTTTCAATGTGGATATCGTTGAAGAAGAAGTTTACCCTTCCGGAACGCATGATCTTGTTTTCATTGTGAGCCTTTTTTCTTTTGTTTGTATTTTTATTTTTGTCGTAGTCCATCAAAGTTAAGTTTAGATAAAGATTCTGTTGACATGACGGTCGTTGTAACACTTACTTGAAGGTATATTATAATTGAACATCCTAATTTCAAACAAAATCGTGTCCGTTTGATACAGCTGCCATTAACATTCGCATTTTTTTCTAACAGACCGTCAACTTTGAATATGACACAACTAATTCGCTTGCTATTTGTAGTTGACATAATTGCTCTCTTTTCAAAGCTCTCAATTTCCTTTGATATTTTAGTTTTTGTCTTTTCTAGCGTTAATATTAGTAAATAACTTTCCTTGTTTAGATAGTAACACGTCAGAATACATTAGCGCACGTGATGCTGAAATCAACCACTATCGGGAATTATTCCTTTCGGGTTAAGTACATCTCTTAATTTGGCATTTGACTAATTTTGGTGTCCTCAGTCAAATTCGAGATTTAGTAATAACACAAAAACGTAGCATAATCTACGTAAACTGCGAAGAGTACATTCCGGTTTTGTATTTTTTTGTTTTGCTTTTTTTTTTTTTGAGGTGGGGTATCATTAATTAAAACACTCCTTATAATCAAATAAAAATACCATTTACATCTATGATGGATTATTTTCTCTAAAGTTTCTTATTTTGACTGGCAATTAATGACGTCTTGTTCAAAGTGATTAGTAGGTAGGTTCCGTAATTGACTTAATATACATGTGTGGATACGGTTTGTTGTTTTTTTGTTTTGTTTTGTTTGTTTGTTTATTTTTTTTCTTGAAAATATATATCTAGAGACAGTATACGATACATTATTCATCAGTTTGGTTCTTTGACAGTCACTAGGTTACCTTACTAGCAGTGTGTTAGAATCCACCAATGTTTTTATGTAATTTCGTTAATCTTTATCAATGTTTTCTTGTCAATCTTTATCATTGTTTTCTTGTCAATCTTTATCAGTGTTTTCTTGTCAATCTTTATCAGTGTTTTCTTGTCAATCTTTTTCAATGTTTTCTTGTCAATCTTTATCAATGTTTTCTTGTCAATCTTTATCAATGTTTTCTTGTCAATCTTTATCAATCTTTTCCTGTCAATCTTTATCAATGTTTTCTTGTCAATCTCGTTCAATGTTTTCTTGTCAATCTCGTTCAATGTTTTCTTGTCAATCTTTATCAATGTTTTCTTGTCAATATCTTTGTGTGTTTTCTTCTCAATCATTATCAGTGTTTTCTTGTAAATTTCTTTCAATGTTTTCTTGTCAATCTTTGTTAGTGTTTCCTTGTCAATCTCTTTCAATGTTTTCTTGTTAATCTTTATCGGTGTTTTCTTGTCAATCTTTATCAATGTTTTCTTGTCAATCTTTATCAATGCTTTCTTGTCAATCTTTATCAATGTTTTCTTGTCAATTTTTATCGGTGTTTTCTTGTCAATCTTTTTTAGTGTTTTCTTGTCAATCTTTATCAGTGTTTTCTTGTCAATCGCTCTCAATGTTTTCTTGTCAATCTTTGTTAATGTTTCCTTGTCAATCTCTTTCAATGTTTTCTTGTCAATCTTTATCAATGTTTTTTTCTGTCAATCTGTATCAGTGTTTTCTTGTCAATCTATGTCAGTATTTTCTTGACAATCTCTGTCATTGGTTTCTTGTCAATCTTTATCAGTGTTTTCTTGTCAATCTTTATCAATGTTTTCTTGTCAATCTCTATCGGTGTTTTCTTGTCAATCTCTATCGGTGTTTTCTTGTCAATCTGTATCAATGTTTTCTTGTCAATCTTTATCAGTGTTTTCTAGTCAATCTGTATCAATGTTTTCTTGTCAATCTTTATCAATGTTTTCTTGTCAATATCTGTCAGTGTTTTCTTCTCAATCTTTATCATTGTTTTCTTTCCAATATCTGTCAGTGTTTTCTTGTCAATCTGTATCAATGTTTTCTTGTCAATCTTTATCAATGTTTTCTTGTCAATCTGTATCAATGTTTTCTTGTAAATCTCTTTCAGTGTTTTCTTGTCAATCTCTGTCAGTGTTTTCTTGTCAATCTTTATCAGTGTTTTCTTGTCAATCTCTATCAGTGTTTTCTTGTCAATCTTTATCAGTGTTTTCTTGTCAATATTTATCAATGTTTTCTTTTCAATCTTTATCAATGTTTTCTTGTCAATCTGTATTAATGTTTTTTGTCAGTTTGTATCAGTGTTTTCTTGTCAATCTTAATCAATGTTTTCTTGTCAATCTCTATCGGTGTTTTCTTGTCAATCTCTATCGGTGTTTTCTTGTCAATCTTTATCAGTGTTTTCTTGTCAATATTTATCAATGTTTTCTTGTCAATCTGTATCAATGTTTTCTTGTCAATCTTTATCAATGTTTTCTTGTCAATCTTTATCAGTGTTTTCTTGTCAATCTTTATCAGTGTTTTCTTGTCAATATCTGTCAGTGTTTTCTTGTCAATCTTTATTAGTCTTTTCTTGAATCCAATTTAAGGTATTTACGCATTATGAAATAAAGCGAGACAAAAAAGGACTTTATTTAAATCTATATACAAAACTTGCGAATCGACTATAACAGCTGTGGTATAATGTCAACATGCTGTCTTGATGTCAATATCGACACTGCCCTCATATGCCCCTGACTATTACGAGAACGTGAAACATTAAAGATATAAATAAGGATGTCACTGTTCCAAGAGATATCGTAACGAAATCGATCAAAGGACATGGAACGTATCTTCGTACCAATGCGACCATCTTGGGTGTAAAACTGACAGGGAAATATGAGTTTGCCTGTTTACATGAAAGATATTGTAACCCCTGATAAATATATATTGTCCGTAATCATTTTGAACTGTACACAAGATAACATTAAAATGGATGAGTAGTGTTTTTAACCGATTCCTTGAATTATGGGATACTTTTTTCCTGGAAATCCATCTTCAAAACTATTCACAACATATTCATGTTTACTCTCATTCTTCAAAATCAGTTAATAAACCAAAATATTACCCGTGACCATTTTAGTATTAATGTATTAATTTACGGGTGTCATGAATGTGTTTTATTTTATCTTCACACAAAAAAATATTACTCAAAGTAATTGTATGTACTTCAGTGGGGAAGAGGAGACACTGGTGTATACCTATCTGTTATCTATTGTCTTTGTGTGCTAAATAATTCGCTTGTATTGCCATCCAGAAGTTACTGGGAGAAGACTTAAATAGGCAATGTCTGATGCCCTATCCCTTTCCGCTTTTTGAGCAATAAAATTTGTTGAAATTGAAATTTACTCTCATCCCAAAATTGTTCCACTGTAAATAACACACACACACACACACACACACACACACACACACACACACACACACACATCGTAAAGAATAAAGACAAAACTGTGTTATTCAATAAAAATCATTTTAATATACATCAATGGAGTTTTATAATATGAAAGGAAACGTGTATTGAATCATAAATAAAACAATCGGTGTTTGAGAACACATAACACAACATAATAATATGTTTGAGAACACATAACACAACACGATCACGTGTTTCCGGTACACATTACATACATGATCACGTGTTTGAGAACACATAACACAACATGAGCATGTGCTTCCGGTACACATTACATACGTTATCACGTGTTTGACAACACATGACACAACATGATCACGTGTTTCCGGTACACATAACATACATGATCACGTGTTTGGGAACACATGACACAACATGATCACGTGTTTCCGGTACACATTACATACATGATCACGTGTTTGGGAACACATGACACAACATGATCACGTGTTTCCGGTACACATTACATACATGATCACGTGTTTGGGAACACATGACACAACATGATCACGTGTTTCCGGTACACATTACATACATGATCACGTGTTTAAGAACACATAACACAACATGGTTACGTGTTTCCGATAATCGTGTTTTAGTAACATGTGTTGCTGGGTGTACGTGTATGTCAATAAGTGTGTAAAAATCGAGACACCAGTATCCAACAAGACATTCGATTGTCAGTGTTTACAGAATCCGTTTTCCTTGCCTGCCATTTTTGTGTAATAATTATTATGTTATTACACAAAAAGAAGAAAACTTATCAAGCATATGAATAGATGTTCGTTTACCAAAAACATAGTTTGCTAACAGATTGTGGTTTCAATCAAACTTAAATATTTTATCTAAGTCATTATACAATTTAATAGTACCTAATAATCTTGAAAAAATTTTTGAAATGTAGATATTTTTTTAGTCTCAATAATGTTTTGCTATTTCAATATCTTTGCTCGTCTTGATAATGGGTAACTTATGTTACTGTTATATTTTTTACAGCATTTGTCATTTGATTACTTTGTACGTTTAATATAATTTCTTTGTTAATCATTAAATACTCTATTGTATAATCGTTCTTATAGAAGTTTAAACAGGTACTCCCCGGCAGTATTGTCATGTCGTTCTCCTATCCATTTCGATACTAAAACTGAAAAAGTCGTTATTATTTTGTAGTCATAATATACCAATCCTAGTCTACTTTGCATATTTTCCTTGTCATACCGACAATGAAGATGGACATCGACATACCGACTACTTGAGTTCCCAACGTTTTGAATGGATCATAAAATTATGTCAAAACAACTCAAAGGAATAAAAGAAAATTCGAAGTTAAATGGACCTGAACATTTTTTGGCGCCACATCGTCAGGGAACACGGAAGACATTGATCGTTTAAAAATCGAGTGTTTTGGGATTATGAGAGTCCAGTAAAAAATGCCTTGTGTGTTTATTTCAGTACACAATGCTTATCGACCAAGGACACCAACATCTGAACACATACGGGGACACATCTCAGAACACAACATGAGAATACATGAGACACACATTTTAAAAGTTGTATCCACAGGTCGTCCCTTGATAAATCTCCTTCATTCTTGCATGATGAAACGTTTGATATTCCATGCTTCGAGAATATGGCGAAGGACGAGATTTGGACGTCATCATGTAAGTCTCGTGAGAGTAGGGAACATAGTTATAACTGTCTGTGTAAGATCCTCGAGGGGGTAGCCTAAGGGGAGTAGTGGACAAGCTGTGATTCACTACCCCGGTGGGAGACATACATGTTGAATCATCCGATTCGGAAGAACCTTGAAAGAAAATCAAATCGTTCCTTAAGAAATCATTTACAAAAGGTATGAATATAAACGATAACTAAGCTTTAAATAAATTTCAAAATTCAAGGTATTGTTGTTAGAGTTGTGAAATATCATTTGGAATTAACTGCTAGGGTTTATCACTCTCTAACGTTCACAGATGTGTATCTAAATGTGATTTGGAAAGGCATCAATATAAGCTCTCAAGTGCAAACAGGCTATGAAACTTGGTTGAATATATTTTAAAAAAATATTGTGTAAACTAACAAAATTAAGATCACAACAGTGATATTAGTCTCTTTGATTACGTAACTTGTGTTAGTAAGACAAATCAAATTCAATTTTTTTACTTTGTGACCTGTAAATTGTTACGCTGCCAAACGTCCAGAAACCCATGTGATGTTAATTTGTGACGTCAGCGAAGAACCAGAACATGTTCGCCATATGTGTTTGATGGATTTATTCAAACTGACTCGATATTTTTATAGTTCCACCAAGAGTTGTCAGAGCAGCAAGTCAATCATTTGTTACCATGGTTCTATAACCAATATACAAAATAAAGCAATGTTTGCGTTTTCTTGACATGCCAAAACATCCTTTGAAAAAAAGCAGAATTTTCTATTCAAATGGCTCCCACTGACACAGTATCGTTACCTCTGTAAGAATTAACAGTAAGACACGTGTTCGTTTTTACACCTACTTCTTTCCATAAAACATCTTTATGTGACCAGTAAAAATAAGCGTAGGCAGATTGAACTTACATTTGTCTTTGTCATCCGATCCCCTTTTCCGAGTGATGTTTGAGAGATGCAAAGAACTTGGACGGTGTTGATTCCTGGGACGTGAGCAAGGGTTGAGATGGGAGATCACATCCACCATACTGGTCAGAAAAAAATAAGGTGTCATCATCTTCACAGCCACACAAATTGTTCTTACATTGTTCTTAAAATCACTACAGCAACACAGATTGTTCTTACAAACATTAAGTCACACTAATTGTTCTTACAAACATTAAGTCACATTGATTGTTCTTACAAACATTAAGTCACTCTGATTGTTCTTACAAACATTAAGTCACACTAATTGTTCTTACAAACATTAAGTCACACTAATTGTTCTTACAAGCATTAAGTCACACTAATTGTTCTTACAAGCATTAAGTCACATTGATTGTTCTTACAAACATTAAGTCACATTGATTGTTCTTACAAACATTAAGTCACTCTGATTGTTCTTACAAACATTAAGTCACACTAATTGTTCTTACAAACATTAAAGTCACACAGAATGATTTACAGACACTACAGCAACACAGATTGCTCTTACAGACACTACAGCTACACAGATTGTTCTTACAAACATTAGGTCACACTGATTGTTCTTACAAACATTAAGTCACATTGATTGTTCTTACAAACATTAAGTCACTCTGATTGTTCTTACAAACATTAAGTCACACTAATTGTTCTTACAAACATTAAGTCACACTAATTGTTCTTACAAGCATTAAAGTCATACAGAATGATTTACAGACACTACAGCTACACAGATTGTTCTTACAAACATTAGGTCACACTGATTGTTCTTACAAGCATTAGGTCACACTAATTGTTCTTACAAACATTAAGTCACACTAATTGTTCTTACAAGCATTAGGTCACACTAATTGTTCTTACAAGCATTAAAGTCATACAGAATGATTTACAGACACTACAGCAACACAGATTGTTCTTACAAACAGTACAGCAACACGGAGTGTTCTTATAAACATTAGGTCACACTGATTGTTCTTACAAGCATTAGGTCACACTAATTGTTCTTACAAACATTAAGTCACTCTGATTGTTCTTACAAGCATTAGGTCACACTAATTGTTCTTACAAGCATTAAAGTCATACAGAATGATTTACAGACACTACAGCAACACGGAGTGTTCTTACAAACATTAGGTCACACTGATTGTTCTTGCAAACATTAAGTCACACTAATTGTTCTTACAAGCATTAGGTCACACTAATTGTTCTTACAAACATTAAAGTCATACAGAATGATTTACAGACACTACAGCTACACAGATTGTTCTTACAAACATTAGGTCACACTGATTGTTCTTACAAACCTTAAGTCACATTGATTGTTCTTACAAACATTAAGTCACTCTGATTGTTCTTACAAACATTAAGTCACACTAATTGTTCTTACAAGTCACACTAATTGTTCTTACAAGCATTAAAGTCATACAGAATGATTTACAGACACTACAGCTACACAGATTGTTCTTACAAACATTAGGTCACACTGATTGTTCTTACAAGCATTAGGTCACACTAATTGTTCTTACAAACATTAAGTCACACTAATTGTTCTTACAAGCATTAGGTCACACTAATTGTTCTTACAAGCATTAAAGTCATACAGAATGATTTACAGACACTACAGCTACACTGATTGTTCTTACAAGCATTAGGTCACACTGATTGTTCTTGCAAACATTAAGTCACACTAATTGTTCTTACAAGCATTAAAGTCACACAGAATGATTTACAGACACTACAGCAACACAGATTGCTCTTACAGACACTACAGCTACACAGATTATTCTTACAAACAGTACAGCAACACGGAGTGTTCTTACAAACATTAGGTCACACTGATTGTTCTTGCAAACATTAAAGTCACACTGAATGTTTTACAGACACTACAGCAACTCATATTGCTCTTACAGACACTACAGCTACAAAGCTTGTTCTTCCAAACATTACAGTCAAACAGTTCACACTTATAAAGCTTATCAATTAGTCATCCTTAACCAGATCTTCCAATGTCTTATCAGACTAATTAATTCACACGCTGGCCAACTGTAATAATGAGAGGCAACAAGTATCTACAGTAATTGGTCAATATCTAACACTTACAATATTAGTAAACCCATGGTGTACAATATCTAACACTTACAATATCTGTAAACCCTGATGTACAATATCTAACACTTACAATATCAGTAAACCCATGGTGTACAATATCTAACACTTACAATATCAGTAAACCCATGGTGTACACTATCTAACACTTACAATATCAGTAAACCCATGGTGTACAATATCTAACACTTACAATATCAGTAAACCCATGGTGTACAATATCTAACATTTACAATATCAGTAAACCCATGGTGTACAATATCTATCACTTACAATATCAGTAAACCCACGGTGTACAATCTCTAACACTTACAATATCAGTAAACCCATGGTGTACAATATCTAACACTTACAATATCAGTAAACCCATGGTGTACAATATTTAACACTTACAATATCGGTAATACCATAGTGACAATATCTAACACTTACAATATCAGTAAACCCATGGTGTACAATATCTAACACTAACAATATCAGTAAACCCATGGTGTACAATATCTAACACTTACAATATCAGTAAACCCATGGTGTACAATATCTATCACTTACAATATCAGTAAACCCACGGTGTACAATATCTATCACTTACAATATCAGTAAACCCACGGTGTACAATATCTAACACTTACAATATCGGTAAACCCATGGTGTACAATATCTAACACTTACAATATCGGTAAACCCATGGTGTACAATATCTAACACTTACAATATCGGTAAACCCACGGTGTACAATATCTAACACTTACAATATCGGTAAACCCACGGTGTACAATATCTAACACTTACAATATCGGTAAACCCACGGTGTGCAATATCTAACACTTACAATATCGGTAAATCCATGGTGTACAATATCTAACACTTACAATATCGGTAAACTCATGGTGTACAATATCTAACACTTACAATATCAGTTAATACGTGATCTACAGTAATTGACCAATATTATCACTTACAATATCAGTAAACCCATGATCTACAGTAATTTTTTAAACACAGTCGTTATAGCTTAAACTATTTAAACAATGTTATTTTTGACACTTCCATTCCTATCTTACGGTTCCAAGTAATTATAGTCGAATGTTATGAATATATTGTCATTTTGTTTGTTTTTTCGGATCAATATTTTGTTCAATGTTAAACTGCTCTCGGTGAATACAGTATAATGTATCTGTTTTGGTAATACTCTGTATGCTACTTTATCCTGTTTGACTCTTAGAACTCAACAGAATTGTTTGCAGTTGTTATATAACAAATGTAAACCCTGTTAGATAACATTTACTGGGAAGTAGTTGTATAAAATTCATAATGATAGCTTTCACTTATTAATATTTCAGATCGGGTAGAAAAGGCAAAATTTGAAAAATGTGTGATTTTTTGTTTTTTCTTAGACCATTTGATGTATATGTGAAGGCTTCATTTTGCTAACGATGTGTTGTCTTCCTGCTATCTACACCAAGGTTATTACCAAAACAGTTCTTCTAATCACAGAGCTAGAGAGTCTATGAGTGGAGTAACATCGCAACCTGTCCTATTCCCCGTACACAGAGCTAGAGAGTCTATGAGCGGACTAGCATCGCAGACTTGTCCTAATTCTCCGTACACACTGCGTTGTTTGTATTAAAACTATATGATGTGAAAATACTTGGTTTATTATATAATTATAAGATCATGTTGGTTGTTTCTGACATACCATTCGTTGGGGTCGACATCTCGAAAACCTTTGGCAAACGGATTACTGGCTATTTTGAGCTGTGTTATCTGAAACAAATAAATCATTTTCTAAGTATGTATATTTATAACGACCAGAATAATGCCATGTGTCACGAGACGTCAACATCATTTAAAAACACATTAGTTTTATCAAAATCAACAATTAAAAAAAATCCATTCATTTTCGCTCGGTTAAAACCCGTACTGCATACGATGAAATTCCTTTCATTCAATTTTAGCCTGAAAATTAACTCACCATGTCCTTGTATAGTAAAAAATCATATCGACTGTTTTAATTGTGTTTATTCTTGATAAAGTATAAAGTTACAGAAAATTAGATTTATATTGAGTAACTCACCCTATGATTTTGGTAGGCTGTAACTGCCATAAACTTCGTCTCTGGAAATAGATATGTCTTGAAATTTTCTGTGTTTGAGCAATCTTCAGATTTAGGATTCACATATACGACATGAAAGCGTGGCTGATATTTGTGCATAGAATTTAGTATGATCTGCAAAAAACAACAAGAAACAATGCAGACATGTCAATAGAATAGTTAAACTGAAAATAAATCAAATCACGGTAAAAATTAAAGATTGAAAAGAAATCCACTGAAAAATATGCATGGATAAGGATATGTGAAAGTCGGAACAGGTAGCAATGTAGCATAGTTTTAGATGTATTAGAATTACACGATAACTTATCTGTTTTCTTGTGTTGGAATATTGACTATAAAATATTTCACTAAGTGTTATCTTTCAATAAGACGAAAAGTGAAAAGTTCTAAAGATCCAATACTGATATCGCGAATGTCGGGAACATTTGAAGTTTTGTTCCGTGAAAGTGAAAATCATGAAGTTTGCTGTTTGATGAGGGGCACTGGCCTTTAGAAGGTCAATACTTCATAATATATGAAATACTTTAGTGTAATGTTATATTCACAATGCTTTATTTTTCGCGTCTGTATATGTTGTGACATTAGATTGCAATCTTCCCATCAATTCCATTTGTAAGTAGATTAAAGAAAATGTACTTAATTGATCATAATTTCTCGGTAAAATACAGCAACACCACATCCTTTTTGATACTACTAAAAAATTAAAATTCCGGATTTTTTTTTTCATTTTAGTCAATACCTTTACAATGCAATCTAACTTCAGAACCTGCATGTTACAATTAAATTTATTCGAATTGCGACCAAGCTCAAAATATGCAAATGCGAAAATTGTTGAATTATGGGGCTAGTGCAACCATCTGTTATATATATATATATATATTTCGATCAACATTAATTGTTCTCTGTCGCCTCCCAAAGTTTAGGCCCTTAGCATTACTGTCAAGTCCTAGGACCTATCATCTATGACCAGAGAATAAGGCATTAGTATGGTGTAGTTGAATCAGAGTTCGGCGCCAGATTTTCAAATGTATGACATCAATAAATAAACCGCAACCTTAAAAACACGTATTAATACACATTCTGATAATTTAAAAAAAAATTCGGGGAAGCAGTGTGGAGAAAGACATCCGGATTGTTATTGTTGTAATCATGTAACTCAGAACCCCGAAAATCACGTGATTTAATTCATTATTTGACTCTATCTAATTTTACTTTCTAATACATTCATACAGAGATTAGATGCACATATATTTAATGTAAAACGCTTCCTGCCTTTGTGATATTCTGTATGCCAATCAATGAACGCTACGACCCCAGACTTTGTGTTACAGTTTCCTAACAAAAAGAATGAAGTGCATCATTGTTAACACAGGGGTGTAGGATCGTTACCCAATAGGCATAGTCTATCACCATTAAATCTAATTCTAGTGACCTCGCACAGTGACCTCAATTTCAGTCAGATAAACAATCTGTCTACCTCGCTCCCTGGCTTATATTGCCATGCAATCTTGGGAAATAATGACGTGATATATTCGTACGGATGTTTTGATTAATGAGCCTTGAATTCGGAGATTGATGTTGAAATTCTCCAGAGCCCACAACTGTGTCAATCTAAAACGATGGAAAAACTATTCTAAGTGGTATATCCTCAGAAATGTAGGTTCTTTACATCTGAAAGTATGATAATTTGATTTTTTTTTATTTGAATATTCTACAAAAAAATGGTTTGCTATTCATAGCGATAATTTGTGAAAAAATAGAATACACAAATTTTTTTTTAAAGTTTTGACATGTTAGCTTTTAACGACTCTGCGGGAGGTTTCCCTGACAACCTCTACTACGAGCATGTTGGGATAATCTTACGGTTAAGAGCTATGCCTTTGATTTCCGATGACAATATCACACTCGTCATGTCCATTTGATATCCATGGTTGATAGCGTTTCGACAAATCCTGAGTATTTTAGTCGGAGCAACATCAGCAAATTCCGAGGACTATTAGATAATATCTTCATGTCGAGAATGGTACGTACATTCCGTTCTTGTTCATTTTGATACTGATTTGTATTTGAAACCTCCATGCAGCACAACAATGAATTTTTCAACAGGAGTAAGTTTCAAGAACTTAACCATCCGTTTGTGTTTTATCATGCAACCATGGTCCTTATGTTGTAATACTCTTATCAAAAAGCTAAATTTGTTAGCGGAAAGTTTAAGTTATAGAATTACGGTTTCATGATTTTAAATAGAAAAACATATTGTTATAATATTAGTTTGGCGTTTATTCTCATCGGATTAGGAAGGATTCACTGAAGCTGTTAACGACTACAAGTTGAGCTTACATATCCAATTCAAACACTTTTATTTTTTCTAATTTGAACAGTATATATACAGTAACTGGGACTGTGTTCACCTATGGAAGCCTTTATGTGGAATATTTCGTGTTATTTACTACAGATTACGCGAACAATTTTCGGTGTAAATATTAGGGAATAAAAAAAAATCTCGTTATGTGCCTGGTCTGTTGATTAACGCAAAAATATTATGATCGCAAAACATTGGTGATTTAATTCAGTCGTCATTTCATTTGTCATTTCAAATTACTAATTAGGAATGTCTAAAGTGGCAGAAAATAATGGTGATTTAATTCAGTTACTAATTAGTAATTACTAAAGTGCCAGAAAATATTGATTCAAAAAAGTTAAATTATAACGTAACTTGATGTATGGTAAATTAATCTGTAACCAGGAATGCCGACAAATGTTTCCATGTAAAAATAGTGTAACAAATTAGTCAAGGTGTGAATGGCTTGATGTTCAGTAGGATCTCCAAACTAACATTGGTCATGATTCTGAATTGCTATGTTGCGTCAATTATCATAAAGATAACGACATCATTACTGCGTCGTAATCACAAGTAAGCGTCATAACTGTCAAACTGACGTCAAATGATGATAACGTTGTTGACAGAATGTCATTCCCAGCATTATTGTATTGTGAAAAACACATGTAAAACAAAAACACAGACCTAACATAGTGCCTACAACTATACTAATGATTATTGTGTAAACAAACACAGAATAAGAAAAATATTTATTTTACATCAAGGCATCGTACAATACAACGAAGAGAATTTATTTCTAGCTGGAATCAGATTACTAATTTTACCATAAAGTTCTGTGTACACGTTTGTTATCTTGTGTTTTATCTACATCTCGCATATAATCAGTCTCTCATTTTCCTATTACAAGTCTTTGAAATGTTATATATTATACTATATGTGAAATATCATAGTATGCGAGAAATATCATATTACATGAGATTTAACACGTCATAGCACTAATGAAATATAAGATAGAAGTAAACGTGAAATACGTGTGAAATATCATATACTATTGTATACATCAAATATTACAGAAATATCGTATACTATATATAAAATATTATATATCATAACGTAAAATTCTTAATATTATAATGTACTGTATATATTAGTGTTTCTGTCCATACATCATTTTATATATACTAAATCCGAACGATTTATATTAAACGATGCATTTATCATGGATGTTGCTATTTCATTAATTGGGATTTTATCTTCTATTTGATGTTGTAGAAATGTGAATGTAGTTTCAATTTCACTAGCCTTTTTTTTTGTTTGTTTGTTTGTATTATTTATCCGCTACTTTTATGCCTTGATGTCTTTTCAGTGTCCATAGCATCTTCTACTACTATGTTGGACTCCGATAGCAGTTCGTTAGCTCATCTCTTAAGAAACATTGAGCAGACTAAAAACCGAGAGATCAATTTTTGAAAACACAAATGCTTTGTATTTGTTTATTTCTTCTCTTTAATTTTAATTAGAATAAAGGAAAATTCAACTCACATGACCATTGTCATCCATAAGGTTATTTGTTAATTTTAGTTTGTCGAACGACACAATTTGCTTCATCCATTGAGCTCCTTTAGCGGGGGAATCTGGGTGGACGTGTATCCTTCCTGGCATATGTGGATCTGCCTTTCCTGCCACCACCCAACTGGAGCTATGAAAGGAGTAGCGATACCGCTTGTCATCACAAGGTACAAAGTCCATCATCACCATGTATTCTGCCATAGGGTCAAGGCCATACATTCGAACCTGAAACGTCGGGAACATCCGTCTGTAACAAAAAAAGAGAATGACAGTACACAACACAAAATCACAAAAATTACTACACAACAACAAAAGTGTTTTGTGTAGCTATCCAATACCCAATCTCGACCTTAATTGTACGAGACACAAAAAAGGAAAACACAATTCGATATAAGTTTAAGATCATGTACAGCAGCGTCAAGCCATGATTTAAACTGCATCATACGATACCATTTGCCAAAAAATCTAGATATGGTTGTGCATTAACCTTTCCTTCAATAATTTTGTAAATATCAGATGATTTCAGTCCCTCTACCGACATATTTAAAAACAACTTTTCCCTTTGTTGTCCTTAGTATTTCAGTCAAACAACACTCTTAATGATATAGCCATACAGCTGGTAGTTTTCTGTTCGAACAATCGATTCTATATTTTAACGAATACAAATTTTGCGATCTTCATGTACAAGGACATCTATTCAAACGTGTCTCATTATTCACTGATTATATTTTCGTGATCACGTTTATGTACAGCGAAAAAGCATTCTTGTGAAAGTAACCCGATTTACGGCATTTCACTTACTACTTAACTTTTCCATATCTAACAAGCCATATCAACATAAATAAAATCATACTACAGTCAGGTCAGAGATACATTGTAGATATTAGAAGTTTAATTAAGTGATTTATAATTTTTAAATTAATAGTTGCCAGTTTTAATATATTTATAAACATTCTGGACTGCTTTCATTGTGGTCATTTGATCACGTATAAGATAACCTTTCTTTTGACACCAGTGGTCACCTAAACAACCAATTGATGCTTGTAACAATTCTCTCCTCATATCAATAACACTTATCTTAGCCGTAATGATTATCATATACGTGTATTCTAATCCTAGATCAATATAATATCATACATATTTACATTGTGAAATGTGTGGATGTGTTATATAATGAGAGGGCGTGAATGGCTTTACCTGTAGACGTATCTTACTTTTACTTGTGAAATGAAATGAAAAAAGGGACATCAACTCAAATGATATTTATAAAACGTTAAATATGATGAGAACATAATGTATAAATACATTAATACATTGTACTATACCAGTAATTAATTATTGACAACAAATTTGACAACAAATGGTAAATTTCATGTTTTATATTCAAATTACGACATTTTAAAATCTTAAGGCTACAGACAACACTTTTATAATCAGAAACGACAATAGATTTACATACAGCTCAACCGTAAATAAATATATGATTATTCTTCATCCAATTCAAGTGAATAGCATATTAAATATTGATATAGAAAATTAAAGAAAACATCAGATTATCATCAATATTTAATGAATCATTATAGAAGATGAAATTAGCTTAGGCAATTTAGAGTGAGATAGAATGATTGTATCGCCCTGTCTGTGCCTTCCTGAACTCCTCACCCTTAGTTGTGACGATAGAGATGTCGGGGAGTCTATGATAAGTAAGGCTAGAATATGTTATGTATCACGGATGTGGATCACACATGTAATTGAGTTATCTAGAAAATGTATCATTCCTCTCTTGTCGATCTATCTCGTCCACGATGGAAATTGTTTTATTCCTTCCGGACTAGTGATTATTTTTTGTTTTGTCTTTACCTATTTGTCTTGATCTGCACTATTCTGTCTATATCAGGTAACAAATAGAAGTTTACATTTTTCTATTTTTACATGAATCATACCACTAATTCAAATGTTTATAATTTGACTAACATTTGTTCAGTACAATATGATACGTTTTTATTTTACAATGAATGGGATATTACATGTATGTGATGGTTTCTTCAGTTCAAAATTAGAATTAAACTTCAATGCGAGCATTGTCTGTTTTAATGGACTATTTAAACCAATCCGTTGATATCGGGGATTTAAATAGAATTAATATGCTAATAGCTTTTACAAAAAGTTTTTTTTTATATAGACAATCTAACATAACAGAGTCTTAGTTCATAACGACTGGAAGTTGATATAAAATCAAAATTTCAATTAAATTCAACATTGAGTTGGATTTTTTAACTGCATTAGAAATTGATTACTTTTTATCAAAAAATGTTAGACACAAAATAAACATGCGCAGTAGGACCACAGTCTGAGTTTGAATTATTACAAATAGTTCTTAAGAGTTTATTTGGTTTTAACAGCACATTTCTTGTTATCAAAACACTATGCTTATAATAATACAAAAATCGTGATGTGTGAAGGATCTTTTCACCTCTGAATGTTCTCTTGTAGACTAAAAGACACCAGTTTTATTTTCCGTACTCGTATATTCAAGTATGGCATCTATAATTAGTTACAAATAACAAGTTAAATGACTATAAAAACCTTGCAATAGTAGTATAAATTGGATTGTGAAATGACGTGGGGGACGGTTTGACACCTCCACTGCCCGTCTTATCGACCTCGTCAGGTCTAAGTGTCATCCACCCATCCGTATAATGACCATTAATGAGTCAATTAGTTAGACTTACATTGCGCGGAGTCGCCAGCAGTGTTGTCTGAGTAGTCACAGAACCATGCCTAGTTATTTTATGGTGATGTATGTCCATAGTTTATATGCAGGTGCCGAGAAATTGATAAATTGTTGTAAACCAGTTACACTCAGCAGGAAGCGAACATTTAGCTTAAATTTCGATTAGATAAATAGGCAATTTGTTGTTTGTTAATCACAGACAAGAGGCAACAAGCAGTGAACACTGCCAGAATGTCAGAAAGCAAATTTACAAATTAGTTTCTGGATATTCATCATTGGGGCTGCTTTAGCTCAAGTAAATGTTGGAGTCACTGACCAAGTCTTTTCTACGACACCGAAAACCACTTGCCCTTTCCTGACCAGGTTTAATATGGTTAGATGTTGATGAGTGGCGTTACATTTCAGACACAAATATCAGTTCAATATAAGCCGTAAAACACATACATATTTCATAAAAATAGTGCTTATTTCCATATTTGGAAAATCCTAAAACTTAACATAGTAATGATAAAAATTAATTGACATCGTAATATTGAAAATTGTTTGACATGAACAAACAATATACATGATGTGGTAGAGAATTCTTTTATAGTAGAAAAATATAAACATAATGTCTGCTTCCTATTTTGATATATTCTAAGTACTGTGTACTAATATGTTTCCTTTATAATCAGAATCATATGATAATCATAAAGTTATCATGTTCCTTTATATATAATATGTTTCCTTTATAATCAGAATCATATGATAATCATAACGTTATCATGTTCCTTTATATATAATGTGTTTCCTTTATAATCAGAATTATGTGATAATCATAAAAGTATGATGTTCGTTTATATATAATACGTTTCCTTTAAAAAGAACACTTAAAATCATATTGTTTTAAATCAATAAGCGCGTTTTGATTTAGATTCACTGATTGTGAAATATAACAATGTTTACACACTCGATGATGTTACCTAAGTTAGGTTTAATACAAGATATACCTAAATTTAACTCTCTGGTATAGACATATCTACAGTCCAAGTCATAAATCTTAAATGTCACGGAGTTAGAGCTGGCTAAGTAGGCTCTGAAGAATTCATTTTCCATCTGGGTTTTAGATCAAGGTTTATCAATAAGTTCAGTTGAAAAGGAAATCTCCGGGGGATGAACGGTAAACGAGTAGACCAGGGATAAAACAAACACACAGTCCATGCTTGTCGGCTTTTAATTGACCATAATGATCAGATGACACGTAAACCAACAAGTTTCGGTCAGGACGGTCGACTGATGAACTATATAGAATACCCACTGGTGTCATAAATATCACGTACATGGGGAGGTGGTGGGGTGGGGGATAATTCAACGAAATAATGAAGAGCATTCAAGAGTAATAAAGGTTTGGTGATACTTGTTTTCAGGTAATCAAGGTTTGGTGATACTTGTTTTCAGGTAATCAAGGTTTGGTGATACTTGTTTTCAGGTAATCAAGGTTTGGTGATACTTGTTTTCAGGTAATAAAGGTTTGGTGATTGTTGTTTTCAGGTAATAAAGGTTTGGTGATTGTTGTTTTCAGGTAATAAAGGTTTGGTGATACTTGCTTTCAGGTAATAAAGGTTTGGTGATACTTGTTTTCAGGTAATAAAGGTTTGGTGATACTTGCTTTCAGGTAATAAAGGTTTGGTGATACTTGTTTTCAGGTAATAAAGGTTTGGTGATTGTTGTTTTCAGGTAATAAAGGTTTGGTGATACTTGCTTTCAGGTAATAAAGGTTTGGTGATACTTGTTTTCAGGTAATAAAGGTTTGGTGATTGTTGTTTTCAGGTAATAAAGGTTTGGTGATTGTTGTTTTCAGGTAATAAAGGTTTGGTGATACTTGCTTTCAGGTAATAAAGGTTTGGTGATACTTGTTTTCAGGTAATAAAGGTTTGGTGATACTTGTTTTCAGGTAATAAAGGTTTGGTGATACTTGTTTTCAGGTAATAAAGGTTTGGTGATACTTGTTTTCAGGTAATAAAGGTTTGGTGATACTTGTTTTCAGGTAATAAAGGTTTGGTGATACTTGTTTTCAGGTAATAAAGGTTTGGTGATACTTGTTTTCAGGTAATAAAGGTTTGGTGATACTTGCTTTCAGGTAATTAAGGTTTGGTGATACTTGTTTTCAGGTAATCAAGGTTTGGTGATACTTGTTTTCAGGTAATCAAGGTTTGGTGATACTTGCTTTCAGGTAATCAAGGTTTGGTGATACTTGTTTTCAGGTAATCAAGGTTTGGTGATACTTGTTTTCAGGTAATCAAGGTTTGGTGATACTTGTTTTCAGGTAATAAAGGTTTGGTGATACTTGTTTTCAGGTAATCAAGGTTTGGTGATACTTGTTTTCAGGTAATCAAGGTTTGGTGATACTTGTTTTCAGGTAATAAAGGTTTGGTGATACTTGCTTTCAGGTAATCAAGGTTTGGTGATACTTGTTTTCAGGTAATAAAGGTTTGGTGATACTTGTTTTCAGGTAATAAAGGTTTGGTGATTGTTGTTTTCAGGTAATAAAGGTTTGGTGATACTTGTTTTCGGTCGTGTTCAATTACATTATTTGGTTTTCAAGGTTAATTAATATTTTATCATTTACCTATACAGGTTGCTGCCTTATAGATGGACTATTTCAGAAATATATTTTATTTTTATTTTATTATTTTTTTTTATTTCACCATGTTTGTATTCTTTCTATATGTTTGAGTTGATTGATTAATTAATTGATTGCTTGATTGATTAATTGATTATATCTGAATTCTATTGATAAAATAATATATATAATACGGCCTTAATAACGTATTTCTTCAGCCTCCGTATCTTTATGTTTTTCATCGTTCAACTCTAAATATGTCTTTGTAATATATTTTATGTTGTTTTGAGAAAGGACTAAGTTAAGGACGCAGATTGTTATGAAAAGTAAATAAAGAATCTTGTCAAAATATATAACATAATGATATGTATTCCACATTTATACATAAAACCAGCACATATTTAAACTTAAGACGTTTTTATATATGTCTAAATCCTCAACGTTATTAGATAATATTTGAAATTCGACATTGTACAAAGTGGTATGACGAAAAACATCCCTAAATCATTAATAAGGCCACTCTTGGTATTTTATAACTAAAATACAATATGTTGATGTGATGTTACAACTGTTAATGTAAAACCACTACAAATATCAATAATGTAACATTGTAAATAAACCAGTCACGTGATACCAAGGCGAGAAAAGGTCATGTTTTCATTGTCTAGTCGAAAACAATACGTGAGAGTGATAAAGGAGTTACGATAATATTCAAATATTTTATGTTTATATGGTGTGTATGTTTAATTTCAAAATGATAACATTATCAAGCTCTGAAAGGGAGCGCATTGTGTAATATTATAGCGAGTTCACTGAGAATGTTAATAACTGTGGAACAGTCAGGGCTAATCATTACAAACTGGATCATTCCAAGTCTGAATAATAAATATCATTATGTATATATCATTGATTACAGACGTGGATTTCATAATTAAGAAAATTATCTCACAGATAGAGTACATTTTCCCTGTCTGAATATAACTGAACAATCCGTTTTAGCGTTTGATAACATATACACCAGAGAAAGGTCTTTTTCTGTATTTTGTTTTTAAGTCGTTTTTCACTTTTTTCATATATCCATGAAATGTTCCAGAAGCTCTTTGTTAATAAGTGTTTGCAATGTATTGATTTTGCTACATACAATTGTAAAATTAAATGGCTGCCTTATTTCACATGACAATGTAATAAAATATACATATATAGTAAGATCAAAAACTGTTTTATTTACAAACTTCACGAAACATTTAAAATATGCAAACACTGCAAATCTGTCTTTAATTGTTACTGCCAATTAAATAATAAAAATATAACGAACGGATAAAGTGACCAACAAAAACTGTTAATAAGCAATTAAAATAATTCTAAAATTATATCAGAATTGATAGATGCATACTCTAATCTCAAAACATACGTATATGAATAAAATAATTTTAGAACACCACTCAGATTTTAAAGAAGTGATTTATAGATTTATTATACAAAACTTCTTTTTTTATTATTATTATTTCATGAAGATATGACTCTGGTAAAAGTGAAATGAATAATATCCACAGGGATGTACTGAATCGCTACACCTACAATAAACAATAAATCATTTTATGAATAAATAATCTTACCTGCCTGCTTTGGTGACAATCATTTCTGTCCCAAGTTCGTCAAACTCGTCCCAAAGAGATTTCATTTCTAGATGAGCACTAACGTTTATTAGTTTTGAATGAAGAGGTTTTTTGGGTGTATCTGACTTATCGTCCATTCCTGCATTTTCTCCTTCACAGTTGTCTTTTACACATGTCCTAGATTCATCGCAAGTGATTCCAGGACTTGTTTTGTCACAAACACCATCATTGATCCCAGTAGATCCGGGGGGTCGGGCAGAACTCTCCGGGTACGTGTCTATACGAGACGAGTCATAGTAGGGTCTGCCTGTTCCGGCATTTAAAATGCAGGCTGTAAAATTTGAAAGAGAAACCATCTTAACATGAGTATCGAAAGAAATAAGTCTGAGTCAGTAGTTACTAAATCCGTATTAAACATCACTGTTTTTGATCACAAATACATCCTATATTTGTATGGATTTTTCGGAGCAAATATCGTTAGCAGGAAAGTTACAAATTGTTTTGTTTGCTTTCTGCCTCTTTGTTTAGTTTATTTATATTGAAAGATTATATTGCCTCTAAACATTTCATTTTAGAATTAAAAAAGAAATTGTATAACTCGATTTATACAAAACCATAATCATTAGTGTTAATCGTTCTCAATACAAAACGGTAAACACAACAATACAATCTTTGGCCGACAGCAACGATACATTTCAATTGATATTAGAAAACTGCATGTAAAAATATACATAGCTGAAAAATCCACAAAAATTAAAGATGTGCCACTTGTTTGTTCAAACATGTAAAAATATAAGATAAATCTGGAAGCTTTTGTAGGGAAAAAAACAGGAAGGTTTGCATCCAGCGTAAAAAAAAAACACGAATTGATAGAACAAAAGTACAAGTTATATTTATAAACAGCGGTGGGTTGCGTTTCAACAGAGTTCAGTTTGACAGTACACACATTGAAATGATCAAACTCTGCGTGTTACATTACATTTGTAGTGAGTGGGCGACCGATGGATAGCATATCATTAACACCTTAAAGAGTGAAATATTTTAACACGTGCATGAGATACGGATCACGCGCATGTTAGTGACGATGAGCACGGTTGACCGCGTACAGTGAAAATAACAGAGTGTTTACAGAGGTGATGTTATCGGTGTGCAAAAACACTTGTCATCGAATTATCCCTGAGACTTGAATTACTAATGATTATCAAAGTATCTGCCCAAGTGTGCCAGCTTCCATCATCAACATTCCATTATATTCTTTTGACAAGGTAGATTCCATACCAGAGTGTTTTCACTATTCAATTTCACTCTCCTTTTATGCTTTTTAACATTTAAAAAAAAATGCTGTTCGGTTGCTTTCGCAAATTTCCAAATTTGTTAAAAACTACTTAGGATATGCTCAAGGAATACTACAATCGCTTGTTTATAATTAGCTATCTTTCTACTTTTCCGATATTTCGTTTATAACTAAGTATCAACTTACTTTTATAAATCCAGCAGATTTCTATCCGTCTTAAAATATAATGTTAAATCCCGTAACTATTCTCAGGCCTGTCTAAGGTGATTAACATACTCTCTATCATAAGTGGATTATTTTTTTAATAACAATTCGCTCTCTATGATGTTTCGGTTATTTCCGTAATTACCTACGCTAATGAACTTCATCGCCATAAATCATCTCACGCGATTAATCATTCTAATTATAGATAAAACCTTCATCAATGTAACACATAGAACAATAAAGATTAACTGAAACGACGAAATATAAAACAATAAATTATATACGTCAAATATTACCTTATGTCTAAAATAAATTCAGGCGAAGGTAAATTAATTTCTTAAAATTACATGAAATAATCCCAAGTTTTGGAGTTGCTCTTAAAAAGTATATATTCAACTATAAACGATCTGAGCAGCGTGTTTCGATATGGTAATTATCTAACTCCCCATCGTAACTTATTGCATTTAACTAATGAGAAGATATAACCAGTCTACACATTTAACTAATAAGAAGATATAACCAGTCTACACATTTAACTAATAAGAAGATATGACCAGTCTACACATTTAACTAATGAGAAGATATAACCAGTCTACACATTTAACTAATAAGAAAAAAAATGACCAGTCTACACATTTAATTGTAATAATAAACGAATAATAATAATTTTTTAGTGAGCTATAAGTTCGATTGTCCAGGAGAGAATGCGATAGGTAGAACAAACGACTGTTGGGATATGTATTTTTACATCTGATTGAAGGAAAATGTCTAAAGCGTTATTTGCCGAGATGAAAACATACAGATATTCGATTTTTTACGAAACATTAAACAAAACGACTCAGAACATCAAATAGCATTATATGATAAAAGAGATATATCAAAAAGGTGTGTTTCGAGACATGTGGCTTTAACGGTGGTCAAACTATTTGTAAGAGAGACCTCACGCACTATCCGCTACAAACGTTAAAAAAGCATTGCATGGTTTCTTGTAAAGCAGTTAGTACAGATCAAACCAACATTAAGTACCAAAACAGTGACGGATGGCAGCGCCAAAGAACAACTTTGCCAGAAATATTTTCTTTTCTCGTTCGTAAAGAAATGCTAAAATTGTTGATTACAATAACATAGCTGTAAAACATAATATAAATACTAAATATTTTACTTCGTTTCAATTTTTTTATCACTGATTTAATGGTGAAATATCTTCCTCTGAATATAGTTTGATAGCTAACATAATAAGATATCACTGTCGATTTTCTGATTCTAAGATAAAAAAAAAAAAAAAAACTATATATTGTTTTTAATCATTGCTTTAATATTAATTGTGAGTCCGTGGCTATAGTTAGATGCTTAATGATTTAGGATGAAAGAGACATCATAAATTACATTAAAATTACTATCGTGTCTCCAAACAAATTATTTATGAAATTGTCTCAATCGTGTTTTAATTCACACTCTACTTATCAAAGCAAACCCACTGTTATTTAATAGAGGGTTATTATAGTTAGACAGCCAGAAAAAAAATCGAAACGAAAAAGTGCATTACTTTGAAATGTTGTATTAAGCGTAAAATCACTGTTGATGGTATAGTGTCCCCGTCAATATTACAACAGAGTAATTCCTTTATATTGCTACTTTTCTTATTTTTTCCTGTTCATATGAAGATGAAACTGCTAGAATATTTCCACTGGAGTTTTTGAGTGCAATAAAACTCTCTTAGTTTTAATGTCAGACAATTAATAGATCATTTTTGTTTAAATTTCAAATGAATGCAACCTATATTGTCTTCGTCATTTTGTAATATTTGTTTTAACGTTTTAACAAAATCCAAAGAGAGACATAGTGTTATCCTTTAAAAATGCCAAGTTATCAAAAAAAAAAAACCTTTGGTATCAATTCGAACATTATAATACATAATATACACACGTAAATAATCATTAACTATTACCTTCCATTCCTTTTATTCCTACTCCATATCCTCCATTTTGTCCCCACTCGAAGAGACAATCTGTGCTTCTCTGGGGAGGGACTTGTTGGTACCCAAAGGCTCCACCTAGGGACCCCAGAAACGAGTCGGCGAACGGCCCCGACATAAGAGACGTGATACTGAAAGCATTAGCTCTGGCAGAGAGAGGGCCGTTTATATCCATGAGTTGGCTAACTTGTTGCTAATGAACGTCAGAAGTGGCGTATATATAAGTTTTTTACTTAGTTTCTACAGAAGTGATAAAGCGACAATAAATTAGACAAATGCGATTTTTGCCTGAAGCCAAACCCCCATATGATATGTACAAAAGTCATACTGTGTTCTGATTGGACGATTAAGTGTGTAATTGTGTGCCTCTCCCCCAGCACGCTCTGCTATAAATCATTAGTGCAGGTCCCCCTCCCCTTTAAAACGTGCCGCTGCAGTAGGCTAACATACATTCCCGGTGTTTGGTATACATTTCGTACCTTTCTCGAGATTACAAGTGTCCGCTGTGTTTATAATTGCCAAACAATATTACACCGTCCCTAGTCCTGCAGGAACAATGATTTCAATAATCTCCAGAACTTCTCCCTCTGGTTAGGATCGTAGTTGAGTTGAATGTATGGTAACTTTGCGTGGAATTCACGCTACAGGTTTGAGAAGGCAATAGGCATGTATACAGTTAGTGTTAGGGCATATCTAACATTCATTAATCATCAGAAGGTGTCAGATTCGACAGCCAACAATGACCATCCTTCCTCTTACCAACAGCACGCTAGTTATCCCGACTAGTACCCCCTAGTAAGGTTAATTGCACTCCTCAACCTCCTCCCACTAAATATGCTATCATCACACATAGACGAAAAATTCATATATATTTCATGCATTTGTAAATAAACACACATACTTGTATACGGTAGTGATTTCGCTAGATACATGCACAGTTGTAAAAGCAATTGATAGAATACTATTATTTAAATGATAAAACAAAGCGTTATTGTTTACTATTTCAGAGCACATTAATTTGTTTGTCAACGTGGAATTGGGTTAAACAATCATTAAATGTCATTAAAATGATTTGCAAAAACTTGAATGTTTAACCCGTTGCATCGTAGTAGAAGGAGAGACAGTTATTTTCTTGACAACGCTGTCTATTGACGGGTTAATGTGTCTTTTCCTCAAGTTACTGCTTCTTAATTCACTATGGTAACGATTTCGTAGTGATTGCTTTAATTATTTTTCTGACGATTTTAACTTTGCTTCGCTTGCGTTTAAACATGTAAAAAAGTCGTAAAAAACCATCCGAATATACTACATACATTATATTATACTGAATGCACCACTTTGTGATTTTCAGTGTATATATTTATACATTGTATGACACTGAATGCACCACTTTGTGATTTTCAGTGCATATATTTATACATTGTATGACACTGAATGTATCACTTTGTGATTTCCAGTGTAATATTTATACATTGTATGACACTGAATGCACCACTTTGTGATTTCCAGTGTAATATTTATACATTGTATGACACTGAATGTATCACTTTGTGATTTCCAGTGTAATATTTATACATTATATAATACTGAATGCACCACTTTGTGATTTCCAGTGTAATATTTATACATTGTATGATACTGAATGCACCACTTTGTGATTTCCAGTGTAATATTTATACATTATATGACACTGAATGCACCACTTTGTGATTTTCAGTGTAATATTTATACATTATATGATACTGAATGTATCACTTTGTGATTTTCAGTGCATATATTTATACATTGTATGACACTGAATGTATCACTTTGTGATTTCCAGTGTAATATTTATACATTATATGATACTGAATGCACCACTTTGTGATTTTCAGTGTAATATTTATACATTGTATGACACTGAATGCACCACTTTGTGATTTCCAGTGTAATATTTATACATTGTATTATACTGAATGCACCACTTTGTGATTTCCAGTGTAATATCTATACATTGTATGATACTGAATGTATCACTTTGTGATTTCCAGAGTAATATTTATACATTGTATGACACTGAATGCACCACTTTGCGATTTCCAGTGTATATATCTATACATTGTATGATAATGAATGCACCACTTTTGATTTCCAGTGTAATATTTATACATTGTATGACACTGAATGCATCACTTTGTGATTTCCAGTTTAATATCTATACATTGTATGATACTGAATGCACCACTTTGTGATTTCCAGACTATATATCTACACATTGTATGATACTGAATGCATCACTTTGTGATTTCCAGTGTAATATCTATACTTTGTATGATACTGAATGTATCACTTTGTGATTTCCAGACTATATATCTATACATTGTATGATACTGAATGCATCACTTTGCGATTTCCAGTTTAATATATATACATTGTATGATACTGAATGTATCACTTTGTGATTTCCAGTGTAATATCTACACATTGTATGATACTGAATGCATCACTTTGTGATTTCCAGTGTAATATCTATACATTGTATGATACTGAATGCACCACTTTGTGATTTCCAGACTATATATCTACACATTGTATGATACTGAATGCATCACTTTGTGATTTCCAGTGTAATATCTATACATTGTATGATACTGAATGTATCACTTTGTGATTTCCAGACTATATATCTATACATTGTATGATACTGAATGCATCACTTTGCGATTTCCAGTTTAATATCTATACATTGTATGATACTTAATGTATCACTTTGTGATTTCCAGTGTAATATCTACACATTGTATGATACTGAATGCATCACTTTGTGATTTCCAGTGTAATATCTATACATTGTATGATACTGAATGTATCACTTTGTGATTTCCAGTGTAATATCTATACATTGTATGATACTGAATGCATCACTTTGCGATTTCCAGTTTAATATATATACATTGTATGATACTGAATGTATCACTTTGTGATTTCCAGTGTAATATCTATACATTGTATGATACTGAATGCATCACTTTGCGATTTCCAGTTTAATATCTATACATTGTATGATACTGAATGTATCACTTTGCGATTTCCAGTTTAATATCTATACATTGTATGATACTGAATGTATCACTTTGTGATTTCCAGACTACATATCTATACATTGTATGATACTGAATACATCACTTTGCGATTTCTAGTGTATTTATATATAAAGATGTATATATTTAGTTACTTATTATATTTCGTAGGGTGTACCCCAACAATTAGAATTTGGATGAAATTGTATTGTCGGTTATCTTCGTATATCATTCATTTTTTCTCTACACATTCTTTATTTTGTCTCTCAGTATGTTGACAAAAAACAGATGAGTATTTGATTTGATAAAAAATATCTTTAAAAAAAAAATAAAAAAAAGTAAGACTTACTGAAAAAAGCTTGCAATCTATGTCTTAAGTATCGGGCTTTTCAGTTGAATCTGAATGTGATCTACGTTGCTTAAACTAATCATATCGTCATTTCTTCTTGTTTTGTAATCAGAGAAAGCATTTTTTTTAGTTTTTGCATGAAGATTTATTTTTGATAAATAAGGAAGAGAAATTAAACGCTATACTTTATTTATTTATATATTGAAAATTAATAACAATGCATCCATAGATTATATCAGCAAATTGATACAAATTTACGTCATTGGTCAAATAGAAAATGTTTACTCTTATTGCGTATTTACGTTGTGTTAATAAAATATGTAGGATTTCGGACAACAAATGTGATGATAGTTTGCAACAATGACAACAAAGCGTCAACATGACCGGGTCAGTTTACAAACTCTGTTACCAAACATGATGCAATTTATTTACTCTAAACTAAATATAGCTGTGTACTGATGTGACACTTGCTTGATTTAATGTAATATGTCCACAAAAAATTTTCAGCTTTAAAATGATGTTGAACAATTAAAATGGCAGATACCTCTTAAAATATGACGATAAAGGTAGCTATTATACCAGGTCATACTCTTAAAACAAACAGTTAACATCTCATCACTAATAAATTGATAATTCTAAAACAGAAAAAAAAACAAAAACAAAAACAAAAAACAAAAACAAAAAACTGAGATTTTGAGTTGTTTGATTGTGCCAAAACAATTAATTTCACTTACATCAATTATTCCTATAAAAGAAAACCTGGTCGATTTTACTTAACCTTTATTCATTTAATTTAATTATATCTTGTAATGCTATTTACAGACATGAAATATAAATCAATTTTTATTATAAACCAATAAAGCAAATATCGACATGTTAACCGATTTTTAGTTCAGAATCAAATTCGACAAAACTTTGGCAAAATATAAACACAGGAAGTATTTACAGACATGAAAATGAGTTAAAGGAACATTTGAGAACAGTTGTATAGTGTAGATCTATGTTGCATGTATTAGTAAGATAAAGATAAACAATACTCCTAGGTACATTATGTAACTAATCTATCAATTTATGGGTCAACATTAAGTTTATAATTAATTCAGATATACATTTAATTCTTTCTTCCCTGTAAATTAGGAAAATGTTGGGTCGTATTTTTTGTAGTTCGCGTAAAAAGAAGTTATTATGATTCGTTAGATTTTGCAATGTACTTGTAGTTTTCTGTTCAAATTAATGGCTAATTATTTTCCTATAGCAATCAACGTTACGAGATCATCAAAGATGAATGTGAGGATATTCACACGGGAAGGAAACATCTACGAGTGTTCGTAGAACTTCATTTTTGCAAATGATGTGGAGTTGAACTTGAACACATTTATACGCGAAGTGACACTCGTGAATCTGCACGTAATCCCAGCTACGTTGGACTTATTTGAAAAGATTTCCTTTTCTTCACCTCGAATTGAAATGGAAATGTTTGCCTAATTTTTTCTTATCAGTGCGATTATTGGCAGTGTCAGAATCTTGAGTGTTTGTATGGCGGTGTGTTTATGTTCTGTGTAAGTATTATGTATAAATATATCAGCCTCTCCGTGAGTAGAGGTAATGATGAGGGAGTAGGTATGTGATTTGTCAGGGGCATACTCTAAAGTAAGATATATACCACAGTAATTACAAAGATGACCATATCTGTCTTGCCTTGATTCAAACTTCATGATATATGTGTTTCTCAAGCTCGAAAAAAGAAATGAATTGACTGAAAAATGG